TGTTAAAAACAACAATACGTGGTTCGATAAAGAGTGCCTGGTATTAAAAAGACGTGTCCGACAAATTTTAAATATATTTAGAATAGATCGTACTCAGTCCATGTTTAATTTTTATAATAAAATGAAAAAAGAATACAAAAAATTACTTAGATCTAAAAAGAAGTCTTATAAAAAAAATGCTCAAAACGAATTTATTAAATCTTTAAATCACGATAATGGGAGATTGTTTTGGTCTAAACTAAAAAACAAATGTTATGATTCATCCAATGAAATTCCAATTAGCTTATTCTTCGAACATTTTAAAACTTTATTTGAAAACGTTAATATTAATAACAATGATCATTTACAAACTGAAAATTTCCAAGCGGAATTTAACAGAAATTTAAACAATTTAAATGAAGAAATATCCGTTGATGAAGTACAACAAGCTTTTAAATTACAAAAGAGAGGAAAGGCACCAGGAATTGATGGATTAATCATTGAAATATTTATCCACTCACCAGATTTTGTTATTGATTTAATTACAAAATTTCATTACGTGATATTTAAAACGGGAATATATCCTACCCAATGGGCAACAAGTCTCATTATTCCGATTTACAAAAGGGTAACAAAAATAATCCCAGTAATTATAGGGGCATTTCATTGATTCCACTACTTGGTAAGGTTTTTCTTTACATAATAAATATTAGATTAAATAATTGGGCAGAAGATAATAATTTATTTCATCAGGAACAAGCAGGTTTTAGGAAGGGTCATCGGGCCATGGATAATTTACACTGATATTCGTAAACATTATATATTCAAGTATTTTATTGTTAATCCATCCAAAGTTAAGTTTACTCAATTAATGTCCATTACTGATATCAATACAATAAGTTGTTTATGTAAATTTCTTTATCACTCATTTAAACGTAGAAGTGATCATTCCCTCTGTAAATAGCTATTATGTTTTATTTGGGCCAAAGGCCTTATATAAAAGTTGAAATAAATGTCCTTGGCCAATACGTGCCAAGGAACGGAAACGTAATGTAGAAAACAGTGAGGGTTTTCACTTAGTTTAGGTTTTCATAAGTTTTAATAGGAAAAGCATATTGTTTGCTTGCACTATAGGTCTACTTATTATTATGCGAATCCAAATATTAAACAGCATTTAATAATTTTTGCTTTACGAGAGAAAAATCAAAAGCAGGAGGTCATCTATTCTTTTTTTTTTTTCTTTTAAGAATTACTATGAAGGAGATGAGACAATTTATGCCACTAAATCCACCCAGCAGCCCTCAGCAAGGCAGAAACCCTTGGGGGTCACACATAGGCTTAACCTATAGTGAGCCTTGGACACACCCGAAGTTTATAGTAATCCACAAATTACACTACTTCTAGAGCCCATTGTGGTTGCAGTGTGGCCTTACACCATAGGCTTAGCCAGTGAGCCGTCCGCCCGTCTTTTGGATGGCCATCAATTGTTTAGGACGGCCACTTTTACCTTTTGACCTAATCAGCTGAGCCTAGCCTAATTGGGCCAGGTCTACCTTTAGCAAATTCTTTATATTCTTCAATTCTATCGAATAATATATTCAACTAAAGCTAAATCATATTTGCGTTTTTTAAAAGCAACCTTTATTGATTGAATGTATATTGTTTTCATACCAATATTCGGTGGGGATTCCCAAAAATATAACGCTTAACCATTGCCTACGTCTGTGAAAAGTTCACTAACAACATGCGTCATGTTTAAAACGTATACTCTCTTGAAAATTGACGGTTCTGAGTCGCCCACAACGCATGCACGTGGCTCTGCAAGTACAGTACTTAAAATTCGGTTCTCTGACATAATATTGCTGGTGTTCGTAACTCTCTGGTTATAATTTATTCATGAATACCGTAAAGAAGATTTGTTGTCGTTAACGTCACAAGGTAAATTTTATTAGTCAACAAAATACAGTAGGTTTGGCCTATCGGTCAGTGTCGATTCGGAGGCCCTAGAGTAGATTATTCTCATAGCCTTGAAACATTATGTGAGTGACTATTAAACCAAAATATCTTTGTAATAGCTAATTCAACACTATTCTTTTGAATACAAAATTCCAACATTTAAACACCTTTAAATGCCTCTAAAGATCATAATTTTCTAGTTTGGGAGGTTGCGTGGCCCACCCATCGGCTCAGGGCCAATCCCACTAGCTTCCATTTTGGGCAGCCTATTTTGTTTTTCTGGCTAAACCCCAGCCTTACACATTATACTTGGTTGATTTGATAGTACTCCCCAGGAGCCATTAAGTGTTTTAAAGTAGGTTTTGCACACATCCATAGGCTGTAGCAAAACCCAGTAGGCCTACCCTTTTGATTTTATTAAAATAGAGAAACTTTATTTGTCAAAAAAAAAAAAGAAACCCAATTAAAGGTTAAAAAAAAAACAGTACATATGTAAAATTCATAAAAAACATAAAAAGTTAAATCATGGCAGTGGCATACTGTATATAGATTTCACTCGCCTTCTCTAAACACTTGCACCTCCTCCATTGATAATGTTCAAAGCAAAAGAAATAAATTATCTCAAGTAGATAAAAATCACCTTATCTTTGTGAGCTAGCTCAGATGTGTATAAGACTCCCCCCACTTTACCTTCACTCCCCCCTCAGCCCCAACCCCCAACATTTCCAGACTCCTTTATATGTCACTGATCTTTACCGATGTTGAATGCAATATATATTTAATAACAGAATTAAGTGTGTGTATTGATTAGATGAATTTCTGAGATGTCTTATTTACACGTTAGTTTTATCACAATAGGGTCTGTGGTTGTTATTATGCATCAATCAATTTTTCCTGGTCCTCCAGAAAATGATACCACCATAAATTTCAGGAGTTTTATGCAAAAAGTAGAGAAATTCTGCTGCAAATGAAAGTACAGAAAAATTTATAGTGAGTACAAGCAGGGACTCGCTGGTTTCAGATGGACCAATTAAAAGCCAGCAAGCCACTATGATAACATAAATCCACATATGATAACATAAATGATGAGTCTGATCTCATAGCGCCCATAGTGTCAGGAATGCAGTTGAAACATTGAATACTAATAGTAAAGAGATAATAGAGCATCTTTCTTCTTTTTTGGAATCTTTTTATTTTGTGTGTCAATTTCTGAGTCAACATAAATTAAAAGAGAATCACAAAAATACATCAGTCAAAATAAAAGAAAACATCAAAAATGTCTTTGATGGCATAGAAACTAAGTGTTACATGCTTAAAATCAAATCTCAATTCTAAACTGTGAACATGGAGAAACTAATAATGATGTTGATTACTAAATTTTTAAATATTTGAACACATTTTAAAGATGAAATTAACACTACTAAAAGAACAAGTTTTGAGCAAAAAAGCTCTGATAGTTGGCACTGGCCAATTTTGTCGATACAATATTGCTCACCTGAGAGGGTGAAAACTCTTGCCCGTCTTTCATGACATGTATTCTATTGCTATAAAGTGATGTTTAGTTTCCAAGAAACTTTCATATATTAAAATTCATCATCATCACATCACCATTTTTTAGTCAAAATGAAGCGCCAACAAATTTATTTCCGACAACCATATACATCAAAGCCAATGTTTTTAAGTTCAAATTTTCTATAGTACCGTATATCAAACATATTAATTAAATTAATATGTTTGATGTATGGTACTATAGAAAATACAACTTAAAAACATTGGCTTTGATGCATTTACTTTTGCATTCAGAACCGTGAGTCCACACCCATCTCTACCCCACTATAATTTGGACTGAGGCGGTGATAAAATTTGGGGAAATAGTACCTCTAGATTGCTGGATATGACACTCTTGTATAGTATAATTCATCATCATCGATCTAATACATTGCTGTGATATATTGTACCATAGAAAATGAATCTTAATTGTATTTGATGTATTTACTTTACATGTGCTGAAAACCAATCTTATCTTTGCACTTTTATTCTCATACTTTTCAAATAAGGCACGCTCACTCGAGTCATATATTATAGGTAATTCAGATGATGTTTGTGGGCAGAGATACCGGTATGTTGCAATAAGATATGATGTACCTTTTCATTTATGCAGTTTATTGCAACAATTTTCAAGCATCTTCTTGACTTAATATGAAATTGCATTGCAGACGAAAAGTGAGGGGACAAACCCCCTCCCCCTTAAAAATATATCAAGGGTGGACATGTACCCAGCTCCCCATGATCTGCACCCATGGGTGCATGAGAGTCAAATTTTCGCACCTGAGGGGCGAACATTTTGAGAATATTTTCTGGGTGCCCAGAAAATGCACTTTCATACCTTAAAAACCTTACCAATAATTGTCAAAAATATAATACAATGATTATTTTTCTTAATAAATTTTAGAAATTAATGCCCTCCCTATAGTATTGTTTGAAGGTTTGCATGGCGAAGAGTATCAATATATAAATTCTTGCGGTACACCACATAGATATCTACATGGTGTACCACAAGAATTATTATATACCGTTTATACTCGATATGAAATGTTATTGGACTGTGGAAGTTCAATAATAGTTGCAGTGATGACGTCACGATTGACTTATAATACAATTTAGGAGATTGCGATTGCACCATCTGCACCCCTGCAGCATCCTCCCACCAGTTGCTTCTTCCACCTTAAGCCTGTTTTCCACCAGGCGAATCTGTTCTTGCGAAGCGAAAGCGTTGGTTCATGCGCATTCACATTCCTATCAGAGTTTTTGTGAAGTGAAAAAATGCGCAACCAATCAGAGCTCAGGAAGTTAACCGACACTTTGATTTGTGCGAATATATTCGCCTAGTGGAAAACCAGCTTTAGGACCCCTAAAGTTGCCGTGTTAATCTGAACCATAAAGTAAAAACTAAAACAGCAGTTACTGATACTAATACTTTACATAATTTATTCAACACCAAGCATTTGCAGTAACTTCTTCAGGATGAAATGTATCATATGAAAATATCTTAATTTCTTTATTAGCGCATAGTGGTTCCAGGATTTCCAAGTTCAAACATCTTATTGATTTCTACTCGTATGTTAATATGAAAGAAATGGTCTTCAATGGAGAATTTGGTTACTGGAAACCAAAAAGAACAATTGGAGACAGGTATGTGCACCCACCCTTCCTATTCATGTGATACTGTAGTTTTTTTGGGGGAAGCATTGAGACCTTGTTTATTTGCGCTACAAGTCCGCCTGTTATTATTATGTGCAAATGCAAAAGAAAAACAAAGCAGTAGTATTAAGTAAGTTTTACTGTCAGGAGAAAAATCCCTGATATGTTTTTAGGTAAGAAAACTTATATTATTATTAGTAGGCCTATGCCTATATTTATGAAAATCTCACATACGTTTTCCGACTCCCGAGTCTCAGCTGGGTCGGCATGCATAGGGCAGGCCTCACCAACTGTAGTATTAATTGTACGTTTCATATAATTCATATAACTGAGCATCTAATCAAATATTACTGCTTTTAGGCTAATATTCAACACAAAACAAATTTCAGTGGGACGTGTGACGTAACTTTTAGTAATAGAGTGTGCGCAGACTGTAAGGTAAGGTAAGGTTAACCAATCAGAAGTGGGAGCAGAAGCCAAATTAAAGCGTTTGGTAACCTAGATACTGCACACATTATCATAGGCAGAGCATAGCAGCCAAGTGAAGTACAGTAGTTCAGTTTTCTTTGCTATAAAAATCACCTTCCCCGTGGGTGTATTTTGGTGAACTTTTTGTATGTTGTAGAGATAAATTTTAATTATATATATTCATGGAAAAACGTTTTGTTGCAATTACATCCAACTTTGGTGTTTCAAATCTGTATTTCTGGTTGACTAATATTTTTGCGAGTTACTGTAGCTCCCCCTCACTTAGTCATCGAGCCAGTACAGTACCCCCACTTCATCTTCGCTCCCCCATCAGGGCCCACAATTTCCAGTATCCTTGATTCTCACTGATCATAACTTTACCGATGTTAAATACAATATAAATCTATTAACAACAGTATGTATATTGATTAGATGATTTTTTGAGATGTCTTTTACATGTTAGTTATATTATGCATTAATCAATTTTTGTCGTTTTCAGCAAAATATACCACAATCTATTTCAGAAGTTTTGCACGAAAGACAGAAAAATTCATTTATATACGAAAGCACAGTAAAGTCTATGGTGAATAGAAGCAGGGCCTCGCTGGTTTCAGATGAACCAATTAAAAGCCAGCAAGTTGAGCAGAGTACCCAGTCTACATATGACAGCATGAATGATGAGTTTAATCTCAATAGCGCCCTCTATGATAGTCAGGAATGCAGTTGAAACATTGAATAGTAACAGTATAGAGGTAATAGAGCATCTTTTAAATTGTTTATGTTAATTTGCTTGAATTTTGTTTTACAATATTGTGAAGTCAGCCTATTGAAAGAGCATCTAAAAAAAACAGTCAAAATAAAACATAAAAAATGACTTTGAATGGCATAATATGTATCTACTATTCTGAATTGTGAATAAAAATAATAGTAAATAAACACAAAGAAACTATGATGAGGTTGTTTACTAAATCCTACCAGGTAGTGTGGCTTCATAGCTCAGTTGTTAGAGTAGTAATCTTAATAATAATATTATTTTTTTTTATTTTTCTCATTCTAATTGTAAATTGGAAATTTGAACTAGGGGACCAATGGAAGTGCAGTGTTAACTGACTTAACTACAACATATGGATACAAACATTGTCCTTAACCCGCTGAACTTTCAATATAAGGGTTATTCGAGGAGCAAAGTGATCAGAAACCGTTTAAAACCTGCTACTAGCCGGGTTTCAACTGGGGTCTTCAGCACAAGAATACCGACATGAGATAATATTTGAATAGGAAGAATCATAAAAATTATATGATTCCTTCTTTTTGAATAAAAGCTCAATTAATTTGCTTGTGTTTTGGTAGTTGCATGGAAATATTGTTCCTTTATAATAAAGGTAATTTACATCATTTTAAATTGCATTGTGGGTAATTTTTACATTGTAGAGTATCAGCCTGTAAGTGTGCTTTTATGTTAATTTGCTTTTACAATAAATAATCATGCATTAGGTATTTATGTAGACTTGCCACAAGTCTCTAATTTATGGATTTTTCGTAGTACATTAGCGCATTTCGGAAAGCGCCACCAGCGTCAGTTTATGTTGAGAAACTTTTTTGATGAGAATTGGAGACTTGTAAAAGAGTGAGTCAAATCGAATGCAGACCGCTGGCCGTGACAAGCATGACGTAATTTTTAGGATGCCGTATTTGGCAATAGGGTGAATGTTATGACGGAAGGTCAACCAATCAAACGGTTCTCGTTTTGGTGCCACGAATGTAGAGAGAAGTCGGGAAGTTGGGACATGGTACCGTAAGTGCAGGTGTGTGGAATATCGTGGTACATTGTTAATGGGGGAAAACAAAACACCAACCAAAACGCCAAAAAAGCTGTATTCCAGAGAATTTTTTGTTCTGCGCACAAGATCGAGTGCGTGGAAAAGCTGCAGTCTAGAAAGTATTTGGTTTGCGAACCGCCTTAGGTTCACGCGAGGCTCAGTATTTTAAAGACTAGAACATTTATCAGCCCACCACTAGGCCTAGGCCGACGGAAAAGCTGTCATGCTCTCGCAACTGCGACACAAAATTGAAGACAATGTATACCTGGATAAGCTATGGGAGTTGTCGCTGGTACGTTTAAGTATTTTTAAAAACAAGTGAATGTCACCAAAAAGAGGAGCAGCCCGTCTCTATTCCAAAGAGCAAAGAGAAATTTGATTAGCGCGGCGAAACATGAATTAACCACCTACAGCTGGTGTAGTGGACGGGACGAGCTGGGCCTATGAGATTCGTCTCTAGATAAAATGATGATGGTACCAACGAGGCCAGAACTAATGTAAAGGCGTTGTACATTAGCCCATTTCGGAAAGCGCCACCAGCGTCAGTTTATGTTGAGAAACTTTTTTGATGAGAATTAATCCCAGAAAAAGTATACTATGGAACGCCATGCAAATAAGTAATATGGAACGCCATTTGTGCCAAAATCGATTTATTCTTAAGCATTTCAACTGATTAAGACAAAGATTAGGGACTGGAACCAAGTCTAGTATTTATGGTGAACATAATTTTCGACGCCATGCCATTGCAATGGCATTTCTGACCATAATATAAATATACAAGTTTTCAATAAAACATTGCTCTAATCTGGAATACCATCCACTCCACATGATTTTTTTTTACTAGATTTAAGGTGAGTGATTTTCATACCCAATGTGGTCTATTTTTTTCACACCCCTGAAGAGCAGTTTAGGTGAGTGATGGTGTATGGGAGTGCAATCGCTTGCCTCAAATCACAAGCCCAGCACTTAAAAGCTTCGTTGAACCAGATTTATATTTTAAAATATCAATTTTTATCAACTATCCAAAGAACTGCATCCATCCTCGGTAACACGGTTAGCCAATCAAGCCTTGTTTTTTTTTTTTTTTTTTTTGGTAGAATATGTTGCGCATGTTACAAAAATACATGATAATAAACTGTAATTGGAGTACTGCGTGGTACATCTTCACAAATATGATGAGAAAACAACTGTCTTTGTTGTTAAATATTGCACTGATAATTATGGTATAGCTAGCAAATCATAAATAATGTAATTGTTACCATTTGCATTCATGGATAATAGATGTGTATCATTTTTCAAAGACCATTAAAAATGCAAAGGTAAAATAAGGAAGAATTACTAATAATAGTAGGATGGTACTTGTTTACAATTTCAGATGCATTACCACAGCCAGTTGTGATTTGTATTGCCCATATGGTCAACAAATTGCATGTCATTCAGTACTGGATAAGAATGCATTAATTATGTCATGTCATAATTATGTATCAACCACTTTTCAAATCAGATGCATCTTAAAAACAAAGGTTAATAAATACTGAAATATATAATTATCCTTAGAAAATTATATTAAGGACTCATAGAGCTTTGGCAATATATATTTTTGTAAAAAAACATACCCTTCCATTACCATCATTGAAGTTATTATTGTTATTAATAACATGTTTGTTTAATCCCTTACAGGTTACTTCTAACGAATCTGTCAATGATGTTGAAGAAACAAAATGGTAAGACAGAGTATATGACAGAGTATATGACAGATTAATGATTATTCATTATTTATTTTTTATATACTTACATGCATATATTCTTATTTTGAAATGAGTATTAAAGGATATAATTTTAATATTACTATTATTATTCTTATTTTCACTTGTTTTTTTTTTAAATGATTATAATATATTAATCTTTTCTAGTCCAGAGTTTTTTTTTAATTCTCAAAAGTAGATTATTATTTTGAAATAAGCATTAAATTGTTATTATTCTAAAATTACTATTATATTATTCTTATTTTTATTTATTTTTTAAATAATTATATTATTATTAATATTTTTCAGGAACAGATGTATTTAATTCCCAAAATTTATCATATTCATTTTAATTATTTAATTTGTTGAATAATGCATTTGGGAGACAGAGGCCTGTAGCCAGTGTGTGCTGGCAGGATGCGTGGCCTGATCTGAAGATTCTCTCCACAGCCACACAATGCATGGTGACAGGTGTGTTACCCTCAAATTATCATATTTGACCTGTTATACTCCTAAATTTTTGCCCACCAGAACCAGAACCTTGACTATTTCTATATGCATAGCGCCAAGTAATGATCGTGTCGTATCAAATAGAAAGCAAAAGTGGATGGTGGTTTTGGCTTCAGTTCTGATTCTGGCAGTTCAGCTACTAATGATTCTGTATTGAAAAAAGATAATAACCTAAAGCCTATTCTTTAAAGTGAACATGGTTGACATTTGACTCGAAGATCTCATCCTCCCTTAGTTCATCCGTTGTTTGTCTTGCTGGGTAACCACAACACCCTCCCCTCAGCAGCCAATGTCTGAGGGAGTTGTTTTTGTCCCTGATGATGGCTGGACCCGATGCAGTTTTTGTCTTGAGGTACACATTCTGGTAAAACTACCCATCATTGGACACCATCTTGGTATTTCAAAAAAAAAAAAAATGTATTGGTTTATTAAGTAGAGTGTCAAGAAAAGTGTTGATGAAGTCAGGGTTTCAATCCCTTGCTGTGTGTTTGGCTTTCCTTGAGCAAAGCACTTTATCTGCATTGCTTCTCTCCCCAGCAGCAACTATTAAGCATGTGGACTGCTGCGGAAAAACGCTTCACCTCTAAAAATAAAGACTAAATCTTCTAAACCATATTTAAGCGAAACAATCTGATTGAATGAGCAACACAAAAATCTGTGTCTTATAGAGACTTTTACAAAACTTGCATTCCATATTGTTTGTTTATATATCTATTTTAATTCATAAATTAACATGAAAATTAACATGAAAAAAATTTGAAAAAAATCTGAAACATTATAATTGAAAAAAACAGATAAAAATGCAAATAGCACACTACATATAGGGCAAACATTGAATAATTTCTCTATATTTGCATCTACTGTAGTTCTAAAGCATAGGCAAGGCCCACCTGAGTATTGACCTTCGACGTGATGGTGAACTTACTCAAACTGAGGTTGAAAGAGATGTGGGATAGGTCTGTGAAACAAAATTACAAGCCATGGAAACGTGAGAACAGCTGCATGTAAGTTACTTTGAAGTGCTTCATTCTTGTGTTCATGTTATTTTTGCGAGCCAAACAAAATGCATTAATGTTGTTGAAAATTTACAGATCCAAAACCAATAGAGGGTTTTAGCGATGATTACTGTTTACAGGCGGTCACATGACCGAACTTGGGTATACATGAAAAACATTGCAGTGTGATAGCATGGGGTAATAAATGGCTAAGAAAGCCAATACGATTGTTCAAAATAGTGTTTATTTACTTATCCTAGCGTTCTCCTGAATGTACGCTTCGAAATTGAAGTGATCCTTCATAAACCATAAAGCTGGCCTTAACATCGCAGCGTAGTTCGTGGGTCGAAGCCCATCATGCATACCTAAATATGTAGATGTGCAGGGGCCTAGGCCAAACATTTGTCTAAAAATCTCAATGTTTGCAGCTTTAGCAAAACATTAAGGCAAAATTCTAAAGTTTAATTTCCAATCAATTTGGTATAGTTTGCTAGGAATTATGATGAGCTTATTAACAGCAATAAACAAGGGACGGCCGCGATTCAATTCAATTCAATTTATTATATCATTTGCAACGCATACATTACATCACATAGAAAATATTGAATAGAAGATATACTGTAAATCTCCATGTAAAACACTGCTGTGTCAGTGGACTGTTTATATCCAACACCCAAGTTAGGTCACGTGATGCCAATCGCTAAATCCATCTATTGTCTTGTGACTGGCTGTTATAATACAGCATGTTTATACTTCAGACATCGCCTGATACTGAATACACAATCATCAATACAATTATCATCAGCATCATCTTCATCATCCTCTTCATCAATATCACCATCAATAAAGCCAGGCTCCAGATGAACAACACAATTGATAAGTTGTACAACTGATTTTTTTAAGACTCAAAAGGCTGTTTAACAAAAACCTTGAGAACAGTTAATGAGACACATTTTTGAATATTTAAAAACTGAGAAAAAAAAGCTATAATTTAATTCCCTCCAGAGCCTGGCTTAAACATAATCATAATCTTTATCATAATCATCATTTTTATACTTAATATTATCATTATTATTCTACCTTGCTATTGAGACGTATTAAGTCCTTAGGCTTGTGTGTCCCTCTGTACATGACAATCCTTGAATCGGTCGTAGGGGTGAACTTCAGCGGGTGACGACACCAATGCACTTCCAATCGAGATTTGAATATATTCAGTGTTTCAGACTCAATAATATTCTTTGGCAGATTGTTCCATGAATTAACAATGTAAATTGAAAAAAATTTCTAATGGACTCTTAGTCTAGCAAAGCCTTTTGCCAACTTCAATTTATGACCTCTTGTCCTCAAACTTTCTGCTACCTTAAAAAATTGGGTACTTTCAATATTATCATATTCTGTAAATAACCTGAAAACTTGAATTAATGCAGACCTCAATCTTCTAAAATGTAGGGTTGGAATATTTAAAATGCTTAGATGTGATTCGTAGCTGTTCGATCGAAACTCCCAAATCATTTCCGTCGCTTGTTGCTGGACTTTTTTCCAATTTGTCACAATCCTGATGAAAAATATGTTGCCACACTGGACTACAATATTCTAGGCCAGGGTCTGATTATCACTTCGTAAAGATGAAAACAGGATTTCCTATCCAAGTATTGAAAAAAACGTTTGATCAACCCCAATTTCTTATTAGCTTTAAGAGTTAAGTCCATGATTTTATTGACATTTTGCAAAATGTTCCTATCCTGGCCTATGCCCATACAATATTGGAAATTTTGGTGCATAACGTTACATTTATTATATTAAATGGCATTTGCCATAGCAAGGACCAATCATAAAACTTGTCAATATCGTTTTGTAATGCAAAAGCGTATGCGAGATTGTTAACTATTCTAAAAACTGTTAGTGTCTGCAAAGATTTTTACATGAGAGTCAATACCATCAGGGAGGTCATCTATAAAGATGTTAAATAACACTGGACCTAACACACTTCCCTGAGGAATACCACTAGAAACTGAAATGCTGGCAGATTTGACTCCATTTACTACAACACGTTGAGACCTGCCTGAAAGAAATGCTTCAATCTTAAATCTTCAAATCTCCTAAGTGTGTCCTTCGCTGGTCCGAGGGACACTGTCAAAGGCTTTTTTGAAGTCTAAGAATACACAGTCAAAACTGTCATTATCGTCAATCCATATTGTCCACTTGTTGACCTCTAACAATTCTGTACAACAAGAGCGACCTGCTCTAGGGCCATGTTGATGACGTGAAAACAAATTATTTTTTCTCCATACGATTCATTACTGCTTCTCGAACAAGGGACTCCATAGTCTTACACTCTATGAAGATAGGCTCACCGGTCTATAGTTATAGGCGGATCTCAACGAACGCTCTTCTTAAAGATTAGAACGACCTAAGCAAGACAACAACAACAGTAAAGAGGTAATAGAGCATTTTATTTCTTTGTGTTAATTTGTTTGAATTTTGTTTTAAAAATTATTGTAAAGTCAACCTAATGAAAGAGCATCACAACAAAAACAGTCAAAAGAAAAAATCAAAAGTGACTTTGAATGGCATAGTAATTACTACAATTACATGCTTAAAATCTCAATTCTGAATTGTGAATAATAGTAAATAAACACAAAGATACTAATGATTGATGGGGTTAACTAAATCCTACTAGGTAGTGTGGCCTCATAGCACAGTTGTTAGAGTATCTTAATAATAATATTAATTTTTTATCTGTCCTCATTCTAATTGGAAATTTGAACTGGGGCCCTGAGGACCAATGGCAGTGCAGTGTTAACCGACTTAACTACAGTACAACATATATAGTTTACTAAAGGATGAGCTAACAAACACACACCATGTGATGCATGACCAAGCATGTCACTCTGTTCCGTCGCTCCATTACCAGAAGGATGCATTAATTATGTCATGTCATTATTGTATCAACCACTTTTCAAATCAAAGGTATCTCATAAAAGGTTTATGAATACTGAAATATATAATTATCCTTAAAAAATCATATAAAGAATTCATAGAGCTTTGGCAATGAATATTTGGTAAAAAACCATGTCCATTTTGTATCACTCTGTATACCGAAGTTACTAATCATATTTCATAATTCTGATGAATCATTTTTTTAAGGTACATATTTTTGGAAATGTAGTAGTAGTAATAGTTTGGTAAGGCCTCATAATTATTAATTTATCCCCCCCCCCCTCCCCTCATCACTTTTGGGGAAATTATGATTTTTTTTTCTTCAATCAACTTATATTTTTATTTAAAACTGTTGTTTTTCCATCTTTTTTCACTTGAAAAGCTCAGGAATTCTTGCAAATTGTTTAATGGTACAACAAAAACATATTTTTAAAATATACCTAAAATTGATTATTTTCCTATGACTTTCTTTATATTGTCCCTAACCATTGATTTACTCGTGAACATTGGTAAAATGGGGGCGGGGTTGGCAAAAAAAAGACCCCTCCCTCCCTCATCAGTTTTTATTCTTTGATAGGGTGATAAACTAATTTGTTTTATGAGGCCTAAGTGTTTGTTGGTAGAGAATATATTTTCTGTGCTACATCTGTTTAAAAGTTGAAATTATTGGAAATGTTGTTTTTTAATTTTTTCTGTGAAAGGAATTGAACCCAGAACCCTGTGATAGCAAAGAAAGTATCTTTCTACCAAGATTTTCTGCTTCACTAATTATAGCCATTAGCGGTTGCAGAAATCCAAGATGGCCGCCAAATATATATTTTACTTAAGGTGAGCTATTAACAAACACACACCTAATTTTGTTTAGGCGAATGGTTGTTTTCGGAGGGGGAATTTAAGCTTCTGTGTAATAGATAGTTGTATATATTTTACATAATTACTACTGTAGACTTAAAAGTGGTGTTGGAGTTAAAAGCAACAACAAATACATCCTAGCAGAAAGAATTAATTGCCATCGTATTTGGGTTTTTTATTAGAAATTAAGGTGAGTGATTCATACCCAAAGTGCTCTATTTTTTTCACATCCCTGAAGAGCAGTTTAGGTGAGTGATAGCGTGGTCCCTATACAGATATTTTTTAGTAGACATAGATAGTTTCTAGGCAAAGCTCTATTCTTGTAGACGATAATAGGCTGTTAATAGATTTTCATTTCATGTCTACTAAGGATTTCTTCCTTTGGTACTACCTTAGTAGTAACTTTAGTAGTCTTTGTCTACTGATGATAGATCACAAATAGTTTATTAACAGTTTATACATATCTATTTATTACTGTAGTTGGTATTTATTAGACTTAAATAGATGGGCATAACAAAGGGTTGGCAATAGTAATATATCTATTATTAGATATGTGCTAAATAGTTGTTATCAATTTATAATTTTAAGTTCATAATTTTATAAGTAGGTTTGTGTCTAGCTATTTAAGAAGATATTATGTAGGCCCAATAATTAGATGAAATTAACATATCAGATTCTGTAGTTTTTGTTTATCTATTAAGGGGACTGATAGAAAAATTTGTACTTTATCAGTAGACCACTGATAGGTAGATGGTAATGTAGTTTATTAATATTTATTGTTATTGAAGACCTCCGCGAAATATGCTAGTAAAGCGTAAAACTACTAAAATCTACTGAAAATTTACTGAAACCTACATATTAGTAGGCGTTCAATAGTCAGTAGGGCTAAATCTACTAAATGACATATGGTGGAATCTATTAAAATGAGTAATGTCTACTAAGAAATTTCAGTATTGGGAAGTGCAATCGCTTGCCTCAAATCACAAGCCAGCACCTAAAAACTTTGTTAAACCAAATTTCTATTTTAAACTATCAATTTTTATCAACTATGTAAAAAACTACATCCATACTCAATAACACAGTTAGCCAATCAAGCCTTGATTTTGTTTTGGTAGAATAATGTTGCACAGGATGCAGAAGTACTTGATAATAAACAGGAATTTCAGTAATGCATGGTACTGTACATCTTCACAAATTTGATGAGAAAGCAACTATCTTTATTGTAAAAAGTTGCACTGATAATTATGGTATAGTTAGCAAATCACAAATAGTGCAATCGTTACCATTTGTGTTCATGGAAAATAGAGATAGCTGGTATCATTTCTCAGAGACCATTGAAAAATGCAGGGTAAAACAAAAATAAATAAGAATGATGCTAGCTATAGGCCTATTGTGTACAATTTCACTTTGCAATACCAGTTGAGATTTGTACTGCACTACTGTATGCTCAACAAACTGCATGTCACTCTGTTACCGTCACTCCGTTACCGGAAGGATATGCATTTATTATGTGACTTTTCAAATCAAAGGTATCTTATTAAATGTTTATGAATACTGAAATATATAATTCTCCTTAGAAACTCATAAAGAATTATTGAGCTTTGTCAATATCTATTTTGATAAAAAACCATGTCCATTTTGCATCACTCTGTTATTGAATTACGATTATTCATATTTCATAATTTTGATGGATAATTTTTTTAAGGTACATATTTTTATAATTATAATAGTAGTAGTAATAGATACTTGGTAAGCTGTTTGTTGTTAGAGAATATATTTTCTGTGCTACATCTGTTTAAAAGTTTAAATTATTGTATTGGAAATGTCCTTTAATAACTGTTTTCGTGACAGGAAATGAACCCATGACCCTGGGATAGCAAAGCAAGTATCTTTCTACCACCAGGAGTTTCAGCTTCACTAGATAATTTATTATTAATGATGATAATAATTTTAGAGTTGATTTTGATGCCATTTGCTGTTTAAATTACTGTATTGAAAATGTCCTTTAATAACTGTTTCCGTGACAGGAACTGAACCCATGACCCTGGGATAGCAAAGCAAGTATCTTTCTACCAGGAGTTTCAGCTTCACAATTATTTATTATTAATGATGATAATAATTTTAGAGTTGATTTTGATGCCATTTGCTGTGGACAATTTAGTGTGGCTAAGATTTAATTTTTAGCATGTATTCTTTGTGTGAGGTTTTATTAGCAACAAGCAAAAAACAGTTATCATAGATATGAAGAAGCAAATTCTGGACCTGATTTCTAACTAGCAATTAATTTAGATTCACTTTACCCTTTCATTACCATTATTATTATTATTGTCATATAATTAACATATTTGTTAAATCCTTTACAGCTTACTTCTAGGGTGTGTCCATCAGTGATGCTGAAGAAACAAACAGGTAAGACAGAGTATATGACAGATTAATGATAATTCATTATTTTCTTTTTATTAATACTAATACATGCATTAAATAGATTTGTTTTGAAATAAGTGTTAATGGATATTATTTTAATATTATTACTATTTTTATTTAATTGTTTTAAAATAATATTATATTAATGTTTTCAGTAACTGATTGTTTATTCCCAAAATTTATCATAATAATTTTAATTATTTATTTTGTTGAATAGTGGTTTGGGAGACAAGACCTGTAGCCATTTTGTGATGACAGGATGTGTGGCCTGTAGATCTGAAGATTCTCCCCACAGCCATGTAATGTACAGTGACAGGTATGGTACCCCTCAGATTATCAATATTTGACCTCTACTTATGCATAGCGCCAAAGAAATGTGTGTGACATCAAATAGAAAAACAAAGTGCATGGTGGTTCGTTCTCATATCATCATACAGTACTGACTAGAGGACTTTCTACATTCCTCGCGTGGATCGTGCGTGTGTTTCACGAGTAAAAAGCGTGGGCCATTATTCTGCGAGTGCTCAATTAACGCGTGAATGATTTTACTCGGCATACACTTCCTGGTAAAAATCGGAACTTGCGGTCCACGAACGGTCACGTGGGCGGGTAAAGTTGTTTATTCATAATCTCTTACCATGCTCTTACTAAAGTTCCATCACGACATATCCAAGCGTGCTTTTACGTAATCTGAATACACTCCTTTGTCTCTATTGTTATTAGTACGAAGAGTCTTTCAGGCGTGGTTGATTAATAGATTTTGAGTATAGAACAATAATTGCATGCAGTAGTTAATTTTAGAAAAAATAAAATCGTTTAAGTTTGTAATTCCCAAATAAAACAATCGTCTTATTATTATTTACGTAACCGTTGTCTGTTTTTATTAGACGTAGTAAGTCAACACATTCATCT